GTCCATGGCGTCCAAAAAGTGTCCCTTTAGGTCAAAAGCGGTTTAGATCAGCTAGAGAACAGCGATAGTAAATCAGAACCACTTACAGAATTGAGTGATAATGATTCGTGGGGGAAATTCGTCATCAGAAACTGAAAACGATTTTGCGACTGAGCTCAGCAATGTGCGAACTTGGCGCTCTATTTCACATTTCAGTGTTTTTGGTTTGATTATATTATTGAATTAAATTTTTTATTTTTTTTATATTATTTTTATGATTATTTATTAAATTATAATTTATGATTTTGTGTTTCAAATTTTATCATACCCGGGATGTTTACTAGACTCTTGTTCGGACAGATTTCAGTGAGTTTTTCCTAAAAATTACAGCCTACAATAAAAAAAATACATATTTCCATGCAAAAAAATGGTACCGCTTTCAGCACCAAAAATCTGAAATAATCATACCGTCAGGGAGGTTAAAGTAACGCAGCGACATAACACAAACCACTTCTGTAACCGCTTCCTGACCGCCCTATAGCAGAAATACTGCTACAAGGCGGCATGGGTGCGCAAAATCACATATAAATATATATACATATGTGATTCGCGCTCCCGTGGTTTTCACGCCCCTCCCAGATAGCGTCAGATTGCCCATCAGGACACCAGTCATCACATTTAACCCCTTGATTGCCAGGAGCACGCTCATGTACAATAAACCTCCATTGCTAGTATACTGTCTGAACGGGTCAATATCTTTGATCAGGTCAGCACTATACCAGCATTCACATTAGTATAGCGTCCCCAAAAACGCAGCGTTAGCGGGATCAGTCCCGGCACCTGCCAGCCCCTACGCTTACCCCCCCCTTTCTCCCCCAGCAAGTGCAGTGTCAGTAGGTCACTGTCACTTGATACATTGCACACAAAACCGCAGTGTTCGCAGAATCAGGCCTGATCTCTGTTAGCACTTGCCGGTAAATTTTGATGACTCTCATATGCAGCAGAGTGCTAGTACTAGTGCCGCTCTACCTTTTGGTGAACTGGCGAGTACCAGCGGTCTAGTACATCCTGGTCTTTCACATACCTTCTTGATTTTTGGAGCTGTTTTTCACGGAATATCTGTATGCGTTGATTGTGGATCAAAGCAGTTTATATGCACAACAATTTATCGCCGCCAACCCAAATTCAAACCTTGCCAGACCATTCGCATGGAAACTCATTACGGTTTCGAATATACATTTTTTTGGGGCCTAACCCCCAACATGGGCATTACTAAAAGAAATGAATTGCGGTTGTATTGGTCCGCAGACCCGATTCATCATATGCCGTGTTCTCTGCTGCCATGGCCAGGCATAGATATGAGAGTATAATGTGTTTTATGCATTTCAATGACAATACAGTCTGTCATCCTCAGGGTAACCCTGAATTTGACCGGCTCCACAAAATTCAGCCCCTCGCAAATCACCTTAACCAAAAATTTGCAGATGTCTATACTCCCCAGCAAAACATCTGCATTGATGAGTCCCTCATTCATTTTTCTGGCCGCCTTGCATTCAAACAATTTCTCCCCAGCAAGCGTGCCAGATATGAGGTCAAGATGTAGAAGACCTGTGAGAGGACAACAGGCTATATTTATAAGTTTCGGATTTACGAGGGAAAAGATAGTCACGTGGAGCCCCCCGGATGCCCAGACTACATGAGGAGCAGAGGAGAGATAGTTTGGGACTTGGTGTCATCCTTTTTCCATATGGGGTACCACTTATACGTGGACAATTTATATTCAAGCGTGCCACTATTTAGACATTTATTCAATCTTGGAACTGGTGCTTGTGGCAAAGTGTGACCTAATGTGTGCCCACCATTAGAAGTGGGTGGATGCAGGGCGGTATATTCTAATGGTGGGCATACCACACACACTTTTTCTGGCAGAGATTTCTTCTAATTTTTTCATTCAGCCCACAGGCTGCATACAAAAAAAAAAAAAAAAACACAACAACATAGTATATACACCCAACAAGGACCAGCGACATACTGGTACATCACTGGACTTTGAATGGTTATACCAGGATGATGCCTACAGCTGCAGGAATCATCCTGGTATTGTTTTTTTCAGCCAGCGATCGGCTTTCATGTAAAAGCAATCCTAGTGGCTAATTAGCTGCAGGATTGCTTTTACAAGCAGTGATAGATGATGCCCCCCCCCCTCCCCCGGCCTTCTCGGGCAAACTCGTGCCATCAGGGGAACCTGAGAATGCAGCCGGTGTTTCTGCCAGCTGACCATAGAGCTGATTGGAGACCAGAATGGCTCCAATCATCTCTATAGTCTAAGAATTCGGAAGCTACGAGCATTTCATCACTTCAGTTTCGCAGAATATAAATAGCGCCATTTGTAAATTGGGAAAGCATCTGATCACACCGATTTTGGTTTGATTAGATAATGTAAGGGCAGAGGAGATATCCAGAGTCTGATAGACCCCAGATTTCTCAAAAAAGAATATATGACAATACCCATTGAAGTTATAGGGGATATTTGCCTTCCCTGTTATAGCATTAAAAGTGATAAAAAAAAAAAATTAAAAAAGGCACAATGTAAAAATAATTAAAAAAAAAAAAAAAAAATTGCCCCTCCAATGCGCACACACCTGTGTGCACAAGCCTTGACCCTGTGTCGGTATGTAAACAGTGGTTGCACCATGCATGTGAGGTATTGCCGTGAACGTCAGATCAAGGGCAGTAATTCTAACACTAGACCTCCTCTGTAAATCTAAAATGGTAGCTTTTAAAGGCTTTTAAAATGTTGCCTATGGATATTAAAAATGTTTGCAGTTTGTCGCCATTGCATGGGGCATGCGCAGTTTTAAAGCATGTCATGTTTGGTATCTATTTACTCGGCATACCATTATCTTTTATATTTTACCAAATAATTGGCCAATATATTGTGTTTTTGTGCATTAAAAGTAAAAGAAAAGTGTATTTAAAAAAAAAATTTGCTTTTGAAAAATCGCTGCGCGAGTACTATGTGCCATAAAAAATTGTAGTACCCATCATTGTATTCACTAGGGTGTCCGCTTTAAAAAAATATATAATGTTTGGGGGTTTAAAGTAATTTCCTAGCAAAAAATACTGATTTTGTTCATGTGAACAAAAAGTGTCAGAAAAGGCTTGGTCTTCAGGTGGTTAGAAGAGTGAGTGATGTGTGGCATAGACCTCTAATGCTGGGCATAGAATGCCCCCACCACCCAAAGCGACCCCTTTTTGGAAAATAGACACCTCAAACTATTTGCTGAGAGGCATGCTGAATCAATAGAAGAATTTATTTTTTTACCACAAGTTTTTTTTTTTTTTTTTTTTTTTTTTTTACACAAAATTGTCACTTAAATGCTTTACTGCTCACACATGCCATGGGTATATGTGGAATTACTCCCCAAAATACATTCTGCTACTTCTCCCAAGTATGGGGGTACCACATGTGAGAGACGTAGCCAAGTACAGGACCCCAAAATCCAATAAGCACTTTCAGGCTTTATTTCCTTATTACACTTCCTGACTACCTATCACAGTTTCGGAGGCCCTGAAATGCCAGAATACCACCTAACCCCCCCAAATGACCCCTTTTTGGGAAGCAGACACCCCAAGGAATTTGATAAAAAGCATGGTAAGTATTTTGCAGATCTCATTTGTTGCCACAAGTTTTTGGAAAATGAAGAAAAAAAAAACACAAACATTTTTTTCTATATTTCAAAACCTTGTGAGAAAAAAATGAGATCTGCAAAATACTCACCATAGCTCTTTTTAAATTTCTTGGGGTGTGTACTTTCCAGAAAGGGGTCATTTGGGGGAGGGTATTTGGTGCTATCCTGGCATGTCGGGGAACACAAAACTGTGATAGGTAGTGAGGAAGTGTAATAAGGAAGTTACGCACCTTTAGGTTTTCAAAGTGGTTATTGGATTTCAGGCTCCTGTATGAGGCTAGGCTCCCAAAAAGTCTCACACACGTGGTATCCCCATGCTCGGTAGAAGTAGCAGAATGTATTTAGGGGTGTAATTCCACACATACCCATGGCTTGTGTGAGAAATAAATCATTTAAATGACAACTTCGTGTAAAAAAAAAGGTTTTTGTCATATTCCAGAAACTTGTGGGAAAAAAATAAATCTTCCATGGACTCAATATGCTCTCAGTAGATAGCTTAGGGTGTCTACTTTCCGAAAAGGGGTCATTTGAGGGTGTTTGTACTATCCTGGTATTTTAGCACCTTAAGAAATGTGATGAGCAGTCAGAAAGTAAAAGCTGTGTAAATTCCATTATCTATACCATAGTTTGTAGACGCTATAACTTTCACACAAAGCAATCAATATACACTTACTGGGATTTTTTTAACCAAAAATATGTAGCAGAATACATTTTGGCCTAAATTTATGACGAAAATTTTATTTTTTTTTTTGATATTTTTTATGACCGAAATGAGAAAATACTGGGTTTTTTTTTCAAAAAAAAATTTTCTTCAAAATTTTTCTGGTTATAGCGCCAAAAATAAAAAGCGCAGAGGTGATCAAATACCACCAAAAGAAAGCTCTATTTGTGTGAAAAAAAGGACATAAATTTTATTTATGTACCGTATTGCATGACCGCGCAATTGTCAGTTAAACTAGCGTAGCGCTCTATAGCAAAAAAATAGCGTAAATTGCAGTATCTATACCATAGTTTGTAGACGCTATAACTTTCACACAATTACTTCCAAACCCTGTGCCGGAAGTCCCACAGATGTCTATTGAGACACACAGCAGCACAGACAGCCAAGCAAGGACAGGTGCATGTCCCCGTGCACATGTATAGGTAAGCCTACCAAAGTCTATATGGAAGAGTATAGCAGGAATATTCAATATTCTGACTCCTGACACCACAATATAGATTACAATACAGGATATATATGGTGCCAACAGTTTTTGCAGTGCTTTACAAAACAATAATAAATCTGTATGCAGATCTTCAAACTAGCAAAGCAGAATTATTACCACGTACCTCATGAACTTATCCATAAGGTCTTCCGCCCACATGTACTTTCGAAGGAAATTCAGTCCATAATACCACAGCTTTTTAATAAGGTTTATAAGATACCATTCACTTTCTTGAAAAAACAAAATCGTCCCCATTGTAAATTCCCAGCAGATTTCCAGATAATGTGCATGTACTCAGACCTGTAACAAATGCAGAGTGAGCTAGTAAAGTACCAATCTGTATGTCAACTGACAACTGGTACACTCTATGACTGACAGAACCAGATAAGCAGAGAGACTGTATAACTTGGGTCTATAGATGCATTGGCCTTGTTTTTAAGGGCGCTGAGACCTGTGTACCATGAACCAGGGTGGATAAAAATAGATGGGGAAAAAAAAAAAAAAAAAAAAAAAACGGATTTTCTTTTTTTTAATCAAATTTATTTTAATAAAATGCTTTTGAGGTAAACATCTAGTATGTTATGTAGCATGAGGCTCAATATATCTGCAATATTCAGTAACAATATTTTAGTAAACTCATTCAAATTAATCCAAGCTCTGCAAGCTGAGATAACATGAACTGCATTGATGCATTCACACAATTTCCACAGTAACCATGAGAAAAAACATGAAAAAAAAGAATTTGAGTAGTTCTCCAGCTATGTGTGATTAACCTATAATAGGTTCTGATATCGCTGTTTTACTAACCTGACAGCTTATTATTCTAAAAAGGAAACTTTCATTTGGTTTGCAAATATTAAAGATTCTGGCTACCACAAGAATGAGTCGGATTCCTTACATTTAAAGAGCACCTGTCAGTTTAGATCCATCATGGCAGCGCCTGTTAGCGGGCATCCACTCACCTGCTGCTACGTCCCTCGTTACTGCCGCATCACTAGCCGTCCCATTAAAGTGCATGGGACTGTTGGTGAGTCAACAGTGGGTCAGAGGAGGAGCCGCTGCGGAACAAAGATGACAGTTCTTTAAAAATAATTTAAATTGAGCCTTTTCACTAGTGATATAAATCAGGATTTAAATCAAATCCACCCTGCCATGAACACTTTTTTTTCCACTGTCTCTAGATGTCATTAAGAATTAATGGCCCACTGCGCATCTGAAAAATGGCAGAACGTTTTCAGTGCGGGTGTGCCAACACGTGCAATTTACACGCTGTCCCACACCTGCACCAGTATGAACCTAATCTAAACCAAGCTCTCCAAGTATGACAAACTGCAGACCATTTTTTCTTGATTCCCAGGTAAAGAGCACATGTTAAAGAGCTCAGTCACAAGCTAACTGACATTAACTGGTTAGATAAAATAACAGATTTAGTAAAAAAATAAAACAAAACACTGGTTTATAAGATCCTTATGTATGTAGAAGCATATAAAATGAGACCCTGTGGCCATTCCTCCTCAGCATGTCAGAAATGAGGAACAAAGCTTCTATCCTTAGTCATAATGAAGATATCCTGATGACAGGCACAGATACAAAATAGCTCTCACTGACTTCTATAAAGCAGGGTATACACAAATTGAAATTCAGCCGGTTCAGCAGGATCCAACCGAATTTCATTGTGAGTGTCTCTGTTCAACAGAACAGACCAGCTTTGGCTGAACAGTCCTGCTGGAAAACCAGCATTTGATCAGCATATGCAGTCAATGGCCACAGTGAACACAATCTATGAATCATTCTAGGTGTCCAGTTCCAGGAGATCGGCTTAGTTGTATTTAGAAACTCTTAGATAAAATTAAAGAAGTTACTTTTTAATGATGTTTAAAATAATCTGGATAACATGCAGTAATAAGATTGCTGTACACTGGACTTACCCAGATCTTTAACTAAAGTTTTCATATGGAGATTCAAGGGGTGTATCACTGACCCTCCAGCCTCATAGTGGTTCCCTTCCATCTCGATTGTAGCCAGTCGGCCACCCACATCATCTTTCTCGAATATATCAATGTGGACATCATTCCCAAACTTCTGACGTAAGTAATAGGCTGCTGATGTTCCTCCAATTCCGGCTCCAACAATTGCTAAGAGACATGCAAAAATATTTCATTATTCTGCTTCAAAAAAGTTAAAGCGGAGTTCCAGTTGATTTAAATAAATAAATAAAAAAGTCAGCAGCTACAAAAACTGTAGATGCTGACTTTTAAAATACAGACACGTACCTGTCCCTCGGTGTTCTCACCACAGCTGGTTTCACCAGCCATCTTCTCTCCCTGGCATCTTCAGTGTGGGCACCCTGCTGTGACAGCCTGCAGCTTCACAGCCGGGTGCCCACTGCACATGCGAGAAGCGCTGCACTTTCTGAATGGTCTCGTAGTCTTCTGGGACCTGTCACATGTCCCAGAAGACTACGGGGAGGGGGGGGGGGGGGGACAACTTCCGCTTCCAATATCCTTAGGCAATCACAGCAGAAGTGGGAGCGGGTACCTGTCAAATTCAGGTACCCACTCCCCAAAAGGTGCCAATCCTCAACGGGGAGCAGGGGACAAAGGCTTAAAGCAGAACTTCCTCTTTTGGGTGGAGCTCCGATTTAACTTCACAAATACATTCACTTAGGGGGGTCTATTTGTGAAAAAAAAAAAGTTTATTTTCTATGATTGTCAGTTCCATCTAGTAGCTATAATGCATTATTTTCCTTAACTACTTCCTGCCCAGACTAAAGCATGACAGCCGGGCAGGATTGCGGTCATCCTGGATGGATGCTATATAACGTTCTGCCAGGATCAGGCCTTGCTACACCGTGAACGGTCACCCTCTGTGTCAAGAGACAGTGGATGACAGATCAGTGTACCAGGCCACTGTTGCTACCATGTGATTTCTGTGACCAATCACAGCAGATCACATGGCAATTGTACACAATGAATGGGTTCCATTCATTATGTACTATTGTGTTGATCTCTGTGATTTGTCTCAATGATCACATGGGACAGACAGGGCAAATTACAGCCCATCTGTACCATATGATTAGCTGTGGCCAATCACAGCTAATAACAGTGTACACGGAAACATTAAATCATAATAAAAACAAAAAATGTTTTTTTTTTTTTTTTTTATGCCATCACCATTCAGTGTCCCTAATCATCATATGATGATGCTTTACAAAATGTGAACATTTTTAAACTTGTTCATTTTACAAAAAATGGTGACAAAAAACTACAACTTCAAAAAAGTCACCATGCATAAATACTATTTTGTACTAAATGGACTGTCTGCTTTACAAAAAGGGTCATTTGGGGGGTATTTGTATTATCCAGGCATTTTAGGGCCTTAAGAAATTAGATTGGCCATCAGTCCAAAAGAAATTATCAATTATATACACATCATAGTTTGTAGACTCCATAACTTTCCTACAGACTAAATATTATGCACTAGGGATGCACCAAAATTTCGGCCACCGAAAACATATCGGGCGAAAATAGCCCTATCGGCATTTTGCCGACAGGAAAAATTTAGCCAATACAGATGCTGATACAGGAGACTGTGTGCAGATGTGAGGGGGCGGCTGAGAAAGGCAGGAGAGGAGCAGTGTATACAGTGACTGGCTGTCACTATGGGGTTTATTTACTAAAGCTGGAGAGTCCAAAATCAGACTCCCTTCTGCATAGAAACCAATCAGCTTCTAACCTCAGCTTGTTCAATGAAGCTTTGGCAATGAAACCTGGAAGCTGATTGGTTTCTATGCAGAAGGGAGTCTGATTTTGGACTCTCCAGCTTTAGTAAATAAACCCCTATATGTCAGTGCCGGTTTTCAAATGCAATTGCCGGCTTTTTTTTTTTTTCTTCACTATAGCTCACAGAATTAGCTGTCACTTCCCCCCAGCTAAAAGAAACAGTTTCCTTTTAGTTTATTTCCCAGAGATAAAAGAAACAGTTTCCTTCAGCTCCGGGAAGGCGACAGCTAATTCTGTGAGCTATAGTGAAGAAAAAAAAAAAAAAGCCAGCAATTGCATTTAAAAACCGGCACGGATCTATAGTGACAGCCAGGGAGGGAGCCTCTCTGCACACACTGCCCCCCACCCCTTCCCCCCTACAAAGAGGACCTGTCACTCATATGCTATCACATAGGGGACTATTGTGATAGCAATAAAATCATAAGTTAAAAAAAAAAAAAAATATATAAAATAATATATATATATATATATATATATATATATATACATGAAAAATACAAAAAAAAAAATTGGAGCCTCCCCACACACATTTTGGTTTCGGTTCGGTTTTTGGCCACATGCATTCTGAATTCTCTGTATCGGTTTCGGCACCAGAATTTTCATTTTGGTGCACCACTATTATGCGCCGATGTGGGTTATTTTCTCCAAAGAAATGTAGCGGAACACATTTGGGCCTACATTTATAAAGAATGATTATTTATTTGCAAAATGTTATACCAGAAAGGAAGAAAAACTAATTTTTTCGTTTATTTAGAAAAAAAAAAACAGTGGTGATTAAATACATCCAAAAGAAAGCTTTATTTGTGTGAACAAAATGCTATATGAAATCTGAAAACTGGCAAAATTGGCCTGGGCAGGAAGGGTGTGAAAGTGTCCAGTATTAAAGCTTTAAGTATTGCAATCAGGGAAATGCTGTATTTTTGCCACTAGATGGCACCAACAATCATAGGATATAAATAGAAAATGACATCTCATACATATTAGACACATTATGGGGATTATTCGAAACAGTTGTGCAAAAGAAACTTGCACAGAATTTGTTTTTTTTTTGTTTTTAAATAGACCTCTTAAAAGTGGAGCCTTACCCTTAACACCCATTCACATCAGAACACGGAGTTACAACGCGCTGCTTTAAACAGCCCATTCTAAATGAACGGGTTCAGGTGTACCTCATCGCATGCAAATCTTAAGCAAACTGAATTTTACAGATCAATAAACATGTATTTCAACTGTGTATTTAGATACTTGATTGGTACTTCATTTCAAAAGGAGAGAAATGAAGCCGTCTAGTGACGTTGCCTGGCTAGCAGTAGTCCCCACAAGCTGCCTGTTCAGTCAGTAGCCGACACAAGAATAGAGATGAGGCTGTTTTCTTATGTCTGCTACATGCTTGTTCTTGCTCATTGCTGCAGAATAGGGATTGAGAGGCGTGTTGAGATCCGAGTCCACTGATGTCAATTGGAACACACCAGCTGCATGGACACAAGTTAACATCCATGCAGGAGAATAGCCCTGAATGCAGTGTGTGTTTGGGCACTGCTTGTTTCTTTTTTTCAAAAAAACTTTCTTTGATCACGTAGTGACATTTCATTCATGTTACTGCTAAGCACTGCATGTGGTACCATCCAGTGTGCTGTCAAAAAAAATGCAGATATTCTGCATTCTTCCAAAACACACAGAAAACAATTGTTTTCTGTGTTCCCCATCGGTGACCTGTGTTTATTCAGTGTAAAAAAAACACAGGTTACCTTAGTTCCACTTTATACAGGAGGACAGATCACTGCGCTCTTGCTGTACGTGGGTAAGTGGAGGCCTAGTCTTGCCCTACAACCAAGGGAGACTTTGTTTATAGCCGCAGAAAAAAAAAATTGGGCCATATATGTCCTAAATGATGGTACCTGACACAAGCTGCAATTGCCCCCCCAAGGTACACCATTGACACCCATTTCTGCCATAATTCTGCTCTGTTGTCTCCCTTCACCCTGGCCCCAGTGCCACCCCGACCACAGTTTTGGCAACGACCTGTACCCCAGCTCCAGTACCTACCTCCACTCTGGTACCGGTGACTACCTCCATCTTGGCTCTGATGTCTACCTTGTCCCCAGTTCCGGTGACTACCTCCATCAACCTAGTTCTGGTGCCTACCTCCACCCTAGTTCTGGTGCCTACCTCCATCCCGGTTTCGATGCCTACCTCCAGCCTGCTTCTGGTGCCTACCTCCAGCCTGCTTCTGGTGCCTACCTCCAGCCTGCTTCTGGTGCCTACCTCCACCCTAGTTCTGGTGCCTTCCTCCAGCCCGGTTTCGGTGCCTGCCTCCATCCCGGTTTCGGTGCCTGCCTCCATCCCGGTTTCGGTGCCTGCCTCCATCCCGGTTTCGGTGCCTGCCTCCATCCCGGTTTCGGTGCCTACCTCCACCCTAGTTCTGGTGCCTACCTCCATCCCGGTTTCGGTGCCTACCTCCATCCCGGTTTCGGTGCCTACCTCCATCCCGGTTTCGGTGCCTACCTCCATCCCGGTTTCGGTGCCTACCTCCACCCTAGTTCTGGTGCCTACCTCCATCCCGGTTTCGGTGCCTACCTCCACCCCGGTTTCGGTGCCTACCTCCATCCCGGTTTCGGTGCCTACCTCCACCCCGGTTTCGGTGCCTACCTCCACCCTAGTTCTGGTGCCTACCTCCATCCTGGTTTCGGTGCCTACCTCCATCCCGGTTTCGGTGCCTACCTCCATCCCGGTTTCGGTGCCTACCTCCACCCCGGTTTTGGGTGCCTACCTCCACCCCGGTTTCGGTGCCTACCTCCACCCTAGTTCTGGTGCCTACCTCCACCCTAGTTCTGGTGCCTACCTCCATCCTGGTTTCGGTGCCTACCTCCATCCCGGTTTCGGTGCCTACCTCCATCCCGGTTTCGGTGCCTACCTCCAGCCTAGTGTTGGTGCCTACCTCCACCCCGGCTCTGGTGACTGTCTCCTCCCTGATTCCGGGCACTACCTCCACCCCACGTTGGGAAGCCCTGCTCCATGGCCACCTCACAGGAAGCCCCTGATCACAGGTAGGCATTGTTGTTTCCATGGGGTCTGATGAACCTTGAACACACCGTGGCCTCCCTACCTCTCCCGCTATCATGTCCCTGTAGGTCCTCTAGGTGTCCCTCCGCCCCGCCCCCTCCGCTGACAGCACTCCCTTAGACCCATGCACAGCTCCTGCCTACAACCCCGAGGAGAGCCCGCCGCCTACCCGCCATGCACAGCCCCGCCCGGTTCTCACCTATCTTGTTCGGAGGGTCGTGGCGCTGTTCAGTCGCTGCAACCCTCAGGCTGCACAGTATAACGGCGGCGATAAGATACATTCTGCTGCCCGGGTGACTTTCTATGCTCTCTGCGCATGCACCGAATCCCCTCTCCCCCTCCCACGTGTGTTTCTCCGGAGTGTGGGCACAGCCTGTATGAGGGAAGGCGGTATACTTCTCATGTACAATGGCCGGGCGCAGAGCTGAGCTGTGCTATATGACCTGAATGACAAGAAATCTAGAGAAGTTATATGAGGGAGAGGGCTGTGAGGGGCGGAGCCTGACAGACTATCACAGACCTTTGACCAGTTTTGGTAATATACTGTATAAGGCAGGGGTCACCTAGAACAAGGGAGGGACCCAGCTCCTCTCCTGATGATTGCTCCATTCTAGTACAGCTACAGCTAGAAATGGTTTTTTCTTTTATTTTTGGATAAAGTACAGGAGGGTTAAAACCCTCAGTTTTGATTTTGCCATCTGTGCCCCATAAGGGAGATTTACCTTCACTTCCTGTCCAATATCCAAAACAGGAAGTGAAAGGAAATCCCTGCAAATTAAGGAACTCCCTTAGGGAACCCCAGGTCATGAGAACTAGTGTCCCCATTGGAAGATTCCTTCTCTATTACTGGGATTTCCTTTGCATTTGATTATAATGGTAAAGTCAAAGAGGGTGAATCATCCTAGTTGACACAGACAGCAATGAGAACTAAAAGGTCCTCTAATCCCTCTCCACTCCACACTCTATTTAAAAAAAAAAAGTTTTGCCTTCAAGTATAATTAACCACTTTCCCTCCAGAGGATTTACTCCCGTTGCTGACCAGGCCAGTTTTAGTGATACGGCGCTGCGTTACTTTATCTGACAATTGCGCGGGTCATGCAACACTACATAAATGATTTTTTTCCCCCACAAATAGAGCTTTCTTTTGGTGGTATTTGATCACCTCTGTGTTTTTTATTTTTTGCACTATAAACAAAAAAGACTGACAATTTTGAAAAAAACAATATTTTAAAATTTTTGCTATAAAACATATCCAATAAAAAAAATCAAATTTCATCATAAATTTAGGCCAAAATGTATTCTGCAACATGTCTTTGCTAACAAAAATCCCAATACGTGTAAATTAATTGGTTTGCATGAAAGTTATAGCGTCTACAAATGGCGGGATATATACTGGAATTTTTAGTTTGTTTTTTTTATATATTAAAAAAGCGGCAATCAGCGACTCATAGCAGGACTGCGGCAAGCAATCTGACACTGGGGGGAACTGACTGCCACCGACATCTCCAGTGACACCAATACAGTGACCACTGCTAATAAAAAGCACTGACACTGTACTAATGACACTGGGCAGGAAAGGGGTTAACATGTGGGGCCATGAAAATGTTAACTGTGTTAGGGAGTGATTTTATTGTGCACTGTGTTGTGTTTTACTAAGCAGACCTGCTGCTTTCTATCGCTCTGCTGTGCAGAGCGATAGAAAACAGCAGGTCTATTCTGACAGGAGAGAGATCTGTGTTGTTTACACACAGATCTCTCCCCTCTCAGCTTTACTGACAATCACTGAGTCCTGGCCGGTGATTGACATCCTCAGGAGCCAATAGCAGCGCAGGAAGGACGGTGTGCGCACCCCTTACCCAGAAATGTAAAATCACGTATATTTACACAATTTTGCCCAGCAAAGCCGCCCTGTAGCAGTACATCTGCTATAGGGCGGCAGGTAAGTGGTTAAAGGCAAAACCTTTTTTAGTTTTGGATAGAGTGTAGGTAGATTAGAATCCCTGTCAGTTTTTTTATTGCTGTCTGTGCCCTCGTTAATGAGATTCACACTCTCTATTTGTCCTGTTTAGCATTGTCATTGAAAGTGAAAGCAAAAAAAAAATCCCACCTCAGGCTGATTGGAAGGAGAGCACACAGATATTTCATCCCTGCTGAACTCTGCACCAAGTTTGTTTTGCGTTTTTGCACAAAATTCATTGAATTTTTACCTTTTATTTATTTTCCATATTTTTCAATTTTTATTTTTGATATTTATTTATTAATTGGATTATTTATTTAATCATCGAAGGACACAAATTTGAATAATTTTGCACACAGACTTTTATTGTTTGTGGGGTTTTTTTTATTATCACCAATTTTGATATATATTTTTTTCATTTATTCATTATTATCAACACATGTTTGGGTATTGATTGGCATTACAATCATGTATGGTTACACATAAGAGATCATGCAGCTATTAGAGATTTAATGTAAATACAGTTTTTATACTATATACAGGTAATAGGTCTTGATAGAGCGCGGCATCTATATTTTATTTATTTGAGATCTGTCACTGGCTGTGTACCTCGGACACAGCTGATGACAGATCTGTGTACTGGCCTGTTGCCAGTAGCATGTGACCAATCACAGAAGGTCACATGACAGTTGTAAACAATGGATAGCTTCCTTTGTTTGGAATGGTCACAATGATCACATGCACAGGCTGGGCCAATCACAGCCCATCTGTGTCATGTGATTAGCCGTGGCCAATCACAGCTAATCACAACAAAAAAACCTGAATCGATTTCATTCAGTTAAATGCTTGCTTATAGCAAAGAAATTCTTTGCTATAAGCAATCAAATTGTGTAAAAAAATACTGGTCACTTCCCCAAATAGTACAATGTTAATATGGTAACATTATACTACTTTGGTCATAGTGTAATATGAAATAATCTTGAAAAAAAAGGAGAAAAAAAATTTAATAATAAAATAAAAAAAAAGTATAATCTTAAAAAAAAAAAGAGAAAAAAAAGCTTAGGGAAGCTTACAGTTTGGATCAGTGAGGAAAGCATACACTATGGAGACGTGGCCTCTAGGGAAATCCCTATTCTGACAGAGTTCTAAATTAGTAAGTAAGAGTGGTTCATCCAATAAAGTAAGCTTTGAGCGAATAAATGAAACCATCTGATTATATCTGAAGATTTCGACAGCAGGCATTTGCAACTTATCTTTAAAATACTGTAAAAATTGTATTCGGTCACCCTTAAGGTAGTCACCTATCCACAACAATCCTTTATTGATCCACCATTAAAAAGGGGCAAGTACTAAACCAGGTACAGATTCAGGGATACAAAAGTTTGGAGCCAAAGGTGTAGGTGGAGATGCTAATGATTTGTGATGGTGTACTCTGTCCCAGACTGTCAATGAATGTGACAAAGTAGGGCGTGATCGATTAGGAAGCCAAAGTAATGAGCCGACTGCTAGGGGGTGGCAGGAAAGAGCTTCGATTGAAACCCAGAAAGGGGTAGGTCCCTTAGCAGTGGTGTAGGCCAGCTGAAAAATTTGAGCAGCTTCGAAATACGCATGAAGATTAGGAAGGCCAATCCCACCTCGCAGTTTAGAGGCATATAATGTCTTTTGTATATCCGAGGTCTTCTATTGTTCCAAACAAAGCGGAGAACCTCAGCTTGTAGATGCTCCAGCTCCCGTCTCTGAATTGGTATCGGCAGGGTTCTAAGTTAATATACTGTAGCAATCGGGGCAAAAATTTAATTCTAATCCAGTTGACTCTGCCAAACCAGGACAAGTAGTCATTCCAACAGTGAAGATCATCTTTAAGTTTTTTTAAGTGGCTAAGTGGATTCCTAAATAGGGTAAAGAGTTATTTGCCCATTGAAAATACAGAAACAGGTAAGGAAATGTTAAGGGCTGTCGTTTTCTGGGAGTTCAGGGACAGCCCAGTAAGAGCAGAAAACTGTTGCAACAGAGACAGTAAGTTAGGTACAGTGATTGAAGGGGAGGTAATATACATAAGGATATCGTCAGCAAAGAGAGCACATTTATGTTCCTGTTGTCCACAACGGTTGTCATAGATTTGAGGATGGGAACAGATTGCCATAGCTAAGGGTTCGATCGCCAGGGCAAAAAGCAATGGGGAAAGTGGACAACCCTGTCTAGTGCTGCGTTGAATTGGGAACACAGGGGATCTATAACCTCTAATGAAAACTTGAGCCGAGGGAGTATCATATAATAAATGCAATAAAGCAAGAAACATATTATTATTACATTATTATTACACAGTATTTATATAGTGCTTACAGTTCGTTCAGCGCTGTAAATTACAATGGGAGACAATACACAAGACAGTACAATAACAATACAATGCAATACACAAGGGGTTCGAGAGCCCTGCTCCTTGGAGCTTACAATCTAGGAGGGAGGGGATAGTGGTACGGGAGGGATAGCTGTGGGGGATGGAGTGGTAGAAAGAGTGGAGAAGATCGGCAATTAGCTGAGGGTGGGGTAGGCTTCCCTGAAGAGGTGGGTTTTCAGGGTGCGTCTAAAGGAGAGGAGAGTAGGTGAAAGTCTGATGGATTGGGGTAGGGAGTTCCAAAGGATGGGGGAAGCCCTGGAGAAGTCCTGGAAGTGGGCAGGGGAGAAGGAGACCAGGGAACTAAAAAGGAGGTCTTGTGAGGAGCGGAGAGTACGTTTTGGGTGGTATTCGGATATCAGGTCGGTGATGTAGTTTGGGGCAGTGTTATGGACAGCTTTGTATGTCAGTGTTAGCATTTTGAATTTGATCCGTTGGGCAGCCGGGAGCCAGTGGAGGGATTGGCAGAGGGGGGTGGCGGATACGGAGCGGTTTGTAAGGTGGATGAGTCTGGCCGCAGTATTCAGGATCAACTGAAGTGGGGATAGCCTGTGGTGAGGTAGGCGGTGAGGAGGGAGTTACAGTAGTCAAGTCGTGATATGACAAGGGAGCGAATGAGTTGCTTAGTAGTTTCCGGGGTTAGGAACGGACCTATTTTGGAGATGTTACGGAGGACCAAATCCAAAGGCCTGTAAGGTAGTAAACAAATACTCCGAAATTAGGCTATCAAAAGCCTTATGAAAGTCTAAAGAGAGAAGCATAAATTCCCTTGAGGGAAGAGCATCCCAGTTAGTGCGGACAGCTGAGATCAGAACGATGGACCGGCAAATCTGCTTGGGGTGTCTACTTTCTGAAAAGGGGTCTTTTTTGGGGGGGGCGGGTTGTGCTATCCTGGCATTTCAGGGCTTCTGAAATTGTGATAGAACTGAGAAAATTACACAGCTAGGCTCCCAAAAAGTCTCACGTGTGGTATCCCCTTACTTAGGAGAAGCAGCATAATGTATTTTGGGGTGTAATTCCACATATACCCAAGGCATGTGTGAGCAATATATCTACTATCACACATATTTAAGTGACAACTTTTGTGTAAAATAAAAAAGGCAACTATTTTTGTCATTTTTTTAAAAAACTTGTGTGACAAAAAATAAAATCTTCCATGGGCTCAGCATGCCTCTCAGCAAATTCCTTGGTGTGTCTACTTTCCAAAAAGGGATCATTTGGGGGATTTTAGTACTTCCCTGGCATTTTAGCACCTCAAGAATTGTGGCAGTCACAAAGTAAAGGCTGCGTAAATTCCAATATATATACCAGTTTATTAAAAATATCCAATTAACTAAAATTTAGTCATAAATATAGGCCAAAATGTATAATGATATACATGTGTTTGGTAAAAAAAATATCCCAATACGTGTATATTAATTGGTTTTAGCGTCTACAAACTGTGATATATATATTGGGAATTTACGCAGCTTTTACTTTGTGACTGCCACATTTCTTGAGGTGCTAAAATGTCAGGGGAGTACAAAATCCCCCAAATGACCCCTTTTTGGAAAGTAGACACTCAGTTCTATCACAAATTCAGAAGCCCTGAAATGCCAGGATAGCGCAACCCCCCCACCCAAAAAAAAAAGACCCCTTTTCGAAGTAGGCACCCCAAGCTTTTGCTCAGAGACATGTTGAGTCCATGGAAGATTTTAGTGTTTGCCACAAGTTCACTTAAATGTTACATTGCTCACACATACCATGGATATATGTGGAATTACACCCCAAAACAATAATTCTGCTTCTTCTGAGTATGGGGATACCACATATTCCCATACACAAAGCAACAACTTTGTGTAAAAAAGAATAATTGTCATTTTTCAAAAACGTTTGGCAAAAAATAAAATCTTCCATACACTCAACATGCCTCTCAGCAAATACCTTTGGGGTGTCTACTTTCCAAAAAGGGGTAATTTGGGGGGTGTTTGAAATGTCCTGGCATTGTATTCCCAACATTAGAAGCCTATGGCACAAATCCCCAGCTCTTCTAACCACTTGAAGATGAAGCCTTTTCTGACCCATTTTTTCCACATGGAAAAACAGTATTTTTTTGCTAGAAAATTGCTTTACACTCCCAAACATTATATTTTTTAAAGCAAATGCCCTATAGAATAAAATGGTGGTTATTGACATTTTTTTATGTCACACAGTATTTGTGCAGCAATTTTTCAAACGCAATTTTAATGCACAAAAACACAATATATGCCAATTTTTTTGGTAAAATATAAAAGATGATGTTACGCTGAGTAAATGGATACTAAACATGACATGCTTTAAAAACTGCACACGCCCGTGCAATGGCAACAAACTACGTACATTTTTAATATCCAGAGGCGGCGCTTTAAAAGCCTTCACTGGTTACCACTTTAGATTTACACAGTAGGTCTAATGCTAGAATTACTGCCCTCAATCTGACGTTCACCGCGATACCTCACATGCATGCTGCAATTGCTGTTTACATACCACCATGAGACTAATGCTGGATTCGCCTTCGCGCGTGAGCATAGGGGGGCGGGGGTTCTTTAATATTTTTTTTATTATTATTTATTTTGCTTTCTTTATATTTATTGTTATTTGGAATTTATAAATATCCCCTGCAATAGCAATAGGCAGTGACAGGTACTATTTTCTGAGAAATCTGGGGTCTATTAGACTCTAGATCTCTTCTCTGCCCTTAAAGCATCTGATCACTCCATGACTAGTGTGATCAGATACTTTCCCAATTTAAAAATGGCACTGTTTATATCCTGTGAAACCGAAGTGATGAAATGCTCGTAGTTTCTGTTTTTTTAGACTGTAGAGATGATTGGAGCCGTTCCGGTCTCTGATCAGCTCTATGGTCAACAGGCAGAACTGCCAGCTGCATTCTAGAGTTCCCCGGTGAGACGGAATAGCCCGAGAACAGGCTAATTAGCCTCTAGGAGTGCTTTTACATGACCTCTGGCTGAAAAAAACAATACCAGGATGATGCCTGCAGCTGCAGTAATCTTCCTGGTATAACCACTCAAAGTCCAGTGACATACCAGTATGTCACTGGTCCTTGTTGGGAATATATATGTATGTTTGCGCATATACAGTACACCCCAACAGATTTGTCTGGAAACCTTTCCTTTCAGAATCAACATTTTCTTTGGGACACTATACTACAAAATACTCCCACAAATATGGGCCATTGATTGCAAACAAGATTTGGTAATCCTAACAAATTCAAGACCATGTTGCAAACATGAATACACCCCAATGAAAGTCTTAGGAGACTTACCAAAGACGGAATTGTGACCATCTCACAGAGACGTCCAGGATGTCCACAGAAGTTAAACACCTCGACAGGAGAATCTTATGAGAAGGGTTGAAGAAAATCGCCATGCAAGTTCACTGCAGTTAGCTAATGAAATAGAAAGCCAAACTGGGGAGATTGTTTCCCGTGACACAATACGGCGTACACTGAAGAGGAATGACATGCATGGGTGTCTTGCACGATGGAAGCCTCTACTAAAGCCCATACTGAAAAAGAAGAAGACTACTGGGACTCTGTACTCTGGAGTGATGAGATCAAGAAAAATATTTTTGCAAATTGATGACTTCAAAACTGTATGGTGTCGCAAAGGTGAGGAGTACCAAGAAAAATGCATGGTGCCTACAGTGAAACATTGTGATGGCAGTGTCCTCCTGTGGGCCTGCAGTGCTGCTGGTGTCGGGGAGCTGCATTTCATTGATGGTATCATGACTTCACAGATGTACTGCTCTATGTTGAAAGAAAAGATGCTACCATCACTCCAAAATCCAAAACACACATCTAGTTGCATTTCTGAAAAAGCACACGGTGAATGTGATTCAGTGGCCAAGTATGTCTTCTGATCCAAACCCAATCGTACACCTATGGGGAATTCTAAAGGGGCAAGTTGAGCATCACTCTCCATCCAGCATCCAGGCTCTAAAAGAGGTCATTCTTGAAGAATGGAAAAAGATAGATGTTGCAATATGTCACCAATTTGTTCATTCTATGCCTAGAAGGCTTGGTACTGTCCTTACAAATCATGGAAGTCATACAAAATACTAGATGTAGTAGCTTTTGTTGTGGGGCATGGGTGTATTAATTCTTCATCAGTTAATTTGAGTAAAACTGAACATTATGTAATCTAAGTTATAATTTTAAACCTTACTTTTATGTAATGAGCTAAACAAACGTTCTATAGAACTCAGTTTTTTTTAAAACTTTGAAAATTGTTCTTGTGTTCATTGAAATATTGATTAAAATCTTACTTTTCAAAAGCGGTGTACTAATTTATGCTGAGCACTGTACATTCTTTTTTTAATTGTGGATGAGAAATCTCCTCCTGCAACGCTGCACACACATATATTCTGAGAGCAACACCCTGTTGCTGTCAGAAAAAAAACAGATCAGTGCTGCAGCTGATTGACGTTCTTGGAAAGCAAACAACAGTTAACAATAAAACATAGTAAGAATAGAACATTAACTCAATAAAACTACACTTTTTTTTATATTTTCATGGTTGTTTTTTTTAACTTTTTTTTGTAACTTTTTTTGTAGCAGAACAGCCTCCAAGTTTAGGGTTTCACAAAATCTGATAGTTTCCTGACTAACTAATATCTTTAGTGACCCTTGTGTGAGAATTGTGAAAATGTGCCCTAGACTGGGCTGTGCTGTACCCTATACTAATACTCCACTAGTGTGTGGTAGTGATGGAAGCAGTCCTTGATGCAGAGACCAGGTTGGTCAGGACAGGAGGGATAAAAAAAAGCGAGTGTCGCGTCTTATTCCATGCCTGCTACAGACACAACATCTTCTTTGGGGTGACCTTTGAGTTGGGATACCAGAAAGGACTTCTGGAAAATGCCTCTCATGCATCCGGCTCACTGCATCTGGATTTGGGGATTGGGCCACAGCACCTTCTGGATACAAAAGGGCCATGATGATCTCTTCTTGAAATTTTAGTAAGGATCCACTTCATCCAGTTGTTTTGTAAATTACAAAAGCATTATATATAGCCAATTTAAATAAAAAAGACACCTTTTTGTACGAGTTTCGAACTTTGCTGGGAAACTAGGTATGGATTCATTATTTGGTCATTGAAGTCCACCCCCTCCTATGTTAAGGTTATAATCATGGAGGGGTTTCTCAACAACACCAGATGCTGTGCTAATTTGGGCTATCATGTCTGTGTGAATGGAAGACATTACAAAAACATCCCATTTATCCTTCAACTTCACTGCAAGCAATTCATCATTTCTCAAGCAGGCTTTCTCCCCCTAAGTTTACAGTTCAATAGGGAAGCCCTGGCAATTACGTTGCATGGTACCACATAAGCCAAATTCTAAGATTGTATAAATGTCTAAACAGTGGCATGCTTTTAAAGACGTCCGCATATAAGTGGTACCCCTTGCGGAGCAAAGATGACACCAAGACCCATACTATGTTGCCACTGCTCCCCATGTAGTCTGGGCAGTCGGGGGCTCTACTTCATTGTCTTTTCCCTCATAAACCCTAAAATTACATGTATAGTCTATGGGCCACTCACAGAGCATATACAGTTTGACCCCATATCTGGCACGCTTGCTGGGGAGGTACTGTTTGAATACAAGGTGGCCAGTAAAATGAATGAGGGACTCATCCACACAGATGTTTTGCTGGGACGTATACACATCTGCAAATTTCTCAGTGAGGTGGTTTATGAGGGGCCGAATTTTGTGTAGCTGGTCATTTTCAGGGTCACCCCAAGGACGACAGAGTGTGTTATCACTGAAATGCATGAAATGCATTATCGTCTCATATCTGTTCCTGACCATGGCAGCAGAGAACATGGGCAACCACAACTCGTTCTTTTTTGTAATGCTCATGTTGAGGAATAGCCCCAAGAAAACTTTAAATTTAGAAACCACAATAGGTTTCCATGTGATTGGTCTGGCAAGAGCTGAATTTGGGTTGGCGGAGATATATTGTTGTGTGTATAAATTGCTTTGGCCCACAATCAAATTATACAGATGAAATACAGCTAAAAAATCAAGGGGAGTAGTTAGATTTGCTTTTTCCACCTGAATTCTGGGCTGGGCAGTAAATGGAGGAAGTACAAGTGCTGCAGAATCTGTTGGCTACCAATCAGGATTTGCAAGTATGCCTGGAAGGACACTGTGGGCTCTTCGGGACTTTGTTTGAATTCGTAGTGGCTGGAGGATGCTACTTTTGCTAGCCACTGCACAAGCTTGCACTGCAATTATGGGACTCACCATGTCACCAAGTGATACTGCAGTGCTGGTATGTGAAATGCCAGTTCACCAAAAGGCAGTGTGGCACTAGTACTGGCTCCATGCTGCATATGCATTTCTAGCACTTCAGCTATATGGGGTTGGGTACGCCTGTTCTTAACAGGGACCTCTTCTCCATCTTCGAGCTACCTGTCAGGGTGCCGCTGCTTTCTACAGGTTCATATTCTGAGGAGGATTCTGTCAGAGAGGCTTCTCCTTTGCTGTCATCTAGCATCCTCAGAATCCTGTAGACCTCTTCACTACTGTACCTCTTTTGGGACATTTTGGGCTCTAAATTTACAGGTACCCAGTGCAACTCACGGGAAAAAGGGCACCTGACTGTCAGCTTGAACTGCTCCAATACAATTTCCCTGTAATGATAGCAGGAATCGGGCCTAATTCTGCTAATGTTGTGGTTTTGTGTGCAATGTATCACAGGTGACAGTGATCAGAAATGACACTGACACTGCACTTCTTTTTGGGGGTGGGAGTGCGGAGGGGCTAAACGCAAATACTGGGAGCAAACAAGCTGATCCTGCTACCACTGCATTTTTGGGGACACTAATACGAAGGGGGCACTAGTATAGTTCTGTTCGTGATCAATATATTGATCCATACAAACACTATACTAGTAATGGCCTTGATTAGCAACCATTAGCATGAGTGAGATAGTGTGCAGGCAAGCTAGTGCTAGCTGACCCTGCTGGGTGGGGCGCTAACTGACCCTAGCACTATCTAACGGCACTAGTGCCAGTAATAGAGTGAATCAGGGAAAAAAACTATACACTGACACTGTATTAATGGCACTGGCTCAGCAATAAGAGTTTATTAAAATAAAATGTGTACCACAAACTTAGTAATATAAAAAGCGTATAGTATCCAAGATCACAGGAGATCAAGTAGCATGCGAATCCCACTGACAGGCAGACTCTCATAAAAGGCTGATGCGTTTCAAAGGGAGATCCTTCTTCCTCAGATAGCAATCAAAGGGTTTAGCAAATGTGTCTAACTGATGTGTTGGTGCAAATGTGTTGCTTTTACTTCTATGTGGTGTCTTTCTTCTCGCCCTGGAACGAAAAGGTTCCAGGGAGAGAAGATCGAGCTAGATTATATGCCTGTATTTACAAATACAGGCACAGCTCTGCTTCTGCATACGATGCATGGGATCAGCAGTGTCCCGGCCAAAAATCATTGGCAGGTGTGACAGAATGCGTCCGACCCCTGCCCTTCTCACCAGCTTGTGGCCGAAAGACCAGCCAATCTCACACCGCACTGTCACTTGCTTAACAATGCAACTGTCAGCTGCGCCCTGCACAAAGATTTTCCAGCTCGCGGAACCACAATCTATGTGCCAGCTGCCTGAGAATGATTGTTACTGGGTTAGGTTAATTACGCAATTAACCCTTCACACTGCCACCACCAACTTTTTACAGAGAAGGAGGAAACTCACAAATCTTAGCAGTAACACTATGATATTAGCATAAATGTCTGTAATACACACTGTCACCATAGACAGGTATATTCAGAGGGTTATTACATACAGTAGCACTCTTCAAGAGACAGGGATTCTTTACTTTGCATTAAAAGCTTTAAAGACAGTTTCAACACTTTTCAAAATAGGGTTTATTACTAAAAAGGTCAAAATGATGCAATTAAAATATTCACAGAAAAAGATGTTACAAAGACATAAAGAGAACAGTAATGCAACAGAGAAATAAAAGAAAGCAGTTATGAAGGCAGAATACTTTCAATGTCTTTGGTTTAAGCAGAGTCCAAGTGTCCGAACAAAATTCTTGCCTTGGCTCTTGAGTCCATTAAGATATTTCCTGATTGATGTTAAATGAGAGCTTTCTCCTCCAGGCCTATCAGTCGTTTTCTATGGTATTAAAGGGGTGTCGCCTGAGAACAAATGACCAATCATCCAGTTTGGGGATGGGTGCTAGGCTGCCACCAAGTTAATGACCAAGTCCCAACTGCAGTTTCATACTAATATTAATAACTTCCAGTAGGTGCAGGTGGTATTCTAGCAACTGGCAGATTAATATTCAGAATTATATTTCAAACCCAGGGATACCAAACACAGCGTACCCTTGTTACCCAGGAGGGAAGAGACTGCTTTCTTCCCCTTCCTATGTGCTAACATAGTCACGTATGACCTCATTTGACTCAACACAAAATTACCTTTCCAAATATATACCTAATATTAATGTGCCCAGTTCCTGTTGAATTTTTTTAATTGTATGTGAAATTGTGACATGTAGAATGGACGTTTTATGGCACACTCTGCATCCTAGAGCCCTAATTGCCTAACAGGTCATGGCTGACAGTTATTGTTTTATGATCGGGCAGAGGAAAGTGTCTTTGCCATACAGACATCCTGCCAAGCCTAATTAGCGGTTTACAGCTCTTGGAGCTTCTTCTATCTGTGTTTTATTTAAGATAAGAGGCCCTTTTGAAGTCTGTTACAACTTACAGCTACAAATTCCATTTCAAGAGGA